ATTTCATTTAGCATTCTTTCTGAGGTTTCCTCCTTTCCTTTCATTTGGGGACTGTTTCTTCACCTTCCCTCCCCCTTTTTTTAGACTCTTCCTGTTAGCCTTAGCTTCTTAAATTGATCTGTTTTTACTCCCTTGGTTTATGGTGTGACCTTCTGTGCTAGAATTCCTGTGAGATTCAGTGATGCATTCTCTTTGGGTCTCCTGGTGTTCACCACTTCCACCTTGAAGTTTCTCTGTAATAGCAAAGTGAAATTTGTCTCTGTCTCAGCTGTTGGGTTCCTTCCTCTTTTGGTGTAACTGTGGTCTTTGCACAGTTCTAGGGTTTTTTTGTCTCATTCGTGGGGTTTTTAAAAATATTTTTATTGATTATGCCATTACAGTTGTTCTATTACCCCCTTCATTCCCCTCCACCCGAAATACCCCGTCCCCCACCATTCCCCCCTTTAGTTTATGACCACATGTCTCAAGTTCTTTAGATTCTATATTTCCCATACTATTCTTGCCCTCCACCTATCTATTTTCTACCTACCATTTATGCTACTTATTTTCTGCACCTTCTCCCCCCTTCTCCTTCTCCCACTCCCCTGTTGCTAACCCTCCATGTGATCTTCATTTCTATGGTTCACTCCTGATCTAGCTGTTCTTTTAGTTTGCTTTTGTTTTAGGTGTGGTTGTTAATAACTGTGAGTTTGTTGTCCTTTCACTGTTCATCTTTTTTATCTTCTTTTTCTTAGGTAAGTCCCTTTAACATTTCATATAATAACAGCTTGGTGATGATGAACTCCTTGAGTTTGATCTTAACTGAGAAGAACTTTATCTGTCCTTCCATTCTGAATGAAAACTTTGCTGGATAGAACGATCTTGGTTGTAGGTCTTTGGTTTTCATGACTTGGAATACTTCTTTCCAGCCCCTTCTTGCCTTTAAGGTCTCTTTTGAGAAATCCACTGACAGTCTGATGGGAACTCCTTTGTAGGTGACTGTCCCCTTAGCTCTTGCTGCTTCTAGGATTCTCTCCTTCATTTAAATCTTGGCTAATGTAATTCTGATGTGCCTTGGTGTGTTCCTTCTTGGGTCCAACTTCTTTGGTACTCTCTGAGCTTCCTGGATTTCCTGGAAGTCTATTTCTTTTGCCAGATTGGGGAAGTTCTCCTTTATTATTTGTTCAGATAAGGTTTCCACTCATGGCTGTTCCTCTTCCCCTTCTGGTACCCCTATAATTTGGATGTTGGAATGTTTAAAGATGTCCTGAAGGATCCTAAGCATCTCCTCCTCTTTCCAAATTCTTGTTTCTTCATTCTTTTCTGTTCAGTCATTTTTTTTTCCTCCTTCTGGTCCACTCCTTTGATTTGCGTCCCAGTTTCCTTTTTATTACTATTGGTTTCCTGCACAGTTCCCTTCATTGCAATTAGTTTAGCCTTCATATGTTCCTCTAATTTGTTACTGAAATCAACCAGTTCTGTGAGCATCCTGATCACCATTGTTTTGAACCGTGCATCTGAAAGTTTGGCTATATTTTCACCACTTAGATTTATTGGCTCTGGGGCTCTGAGTTGTTCTTGAGCCATGTTTTGATCTGTTTGTGCCTGTTATGTATGAGTAGCAGAGCCTTAGATGTTCACCAGGGCAGGGCTGCCCAGGTCCCTGGTTTGTGAAGCTTATGTGCGAGGAGGGTCAGCGAGGGACAATAGCAGTCTCCTCTGCCACTTCCCGCCACTGGGGCCTGGAGGTCCATCTCACTGCTTGCTCCTTCACCAGCTTACAGTTTATCTGTGCACGAATGTGTGACTGTGGTCAGCCTTCAGTGGGTTCACCACCTTGCACCCTCAGTGAATCCGCCAGTTGCTACTCCACATTTGGGATCTGCCCATGGCTGCTGGTGCACCTGGGTCGTGCACCCAGGTAGGTCCTGTGGGTCTTTCCTGCCCAATCCTGCTCTGCTGTTGGCTCTGCCCTTCTTACTGGTTTGGCTGAAGGGTTTGTTGTTGTCAGACGTCTATATAGTTCGATTTTCTGTGGTTTGGCTTCATTTTTGTTGCTAAAACTTTCTTGTTATTAAACTTGGTTGTGCGAGAAGGCAAAGTGTCTATACCTATGCCTCCATCTTGGTGGAAGTCCCCTCGGTATTTTTTTTTAAGCAGATGTTTGGTTTTTCAATGTCCACTACAATTTTTTATCTCCTATATTCATATTGCTGTGATATCTTTGGCTGTCTGCTCTGTTCCTCTGTAGATTGGCCATGTTTCTTTCCCATGTGTAGGGGGAATTGTAATCTGCACCCTTTTACCTAGCAACCATCTTCTCTTTCTTTTCTTATTAGGCACCAGTCTTAGCCAATCAGAGCAGCACTCTTACAACCTCATGGAACCTAATTACTTCCTAAGCATCTTGTCTTCAGATGCAGTCATGCTGGGAGTTAAGGTTTCAATATGAATTCTGCATTCCATAGCAGAATTCCCATGCCAACTCTTCTGTTTGACATTTTTAAGTACTCCCCCACACAGGCTTCACAGATGACACTCGACCCAGTATCCTTCCTACATTTCCAGTCACTGCTCAGTTTCCATCTTGGGAACTGGTCATCCTTCCTACCCTATCTGCCCAGCCATCTCCTTTTCTCGCTCTCCACTCTAACTGCATAAAGAGCTAACTCCAGATTAGCTCTTCTTTACACATGGTTTTCATGATGACTGGTTCATGGTACCCAGAGAAAATGATGAGCTTGGGAGTCAGGCCAACCTGTTTGAACCCCAGCTATGCCACTTTCTAACTCCATGATCTTGGACAGGTTAGCATCCCTATCTTCCAGTTTCTGTACCAGTACAATGGATAGAATATATCTATGAATCATCTATCACATCTGTTTCTACCACCCATCCATCTGCCATCTGACGAATCCTTTGGCTGATTCTCTCTTTACATTATATTTCTCAAATGTGTAGTTTTGTCATAATTTCCTTATTTTTCTTTTATAATTTTACTAACATATACATCTTTAAAAATATATATTGTTTACTTGTGTACACTTTCGAACTTGAAAAATTAGCAGAACACACATTTTTTCTGTGACACTGTTGATTACACTGTTTATAATTATTTTATTTTATTTTGATAAATAAACATATTGATATCATTGTTTAGATATCTAACAAGCCCTTTAAGTAAAATGGAATTCAATTTTTCAAAACTCTTTGTCAATTTACTTCTAGTCACCTATTAATGAGTATGTAACTAAACAAAGTAGGCTTAGCTACCTGCCACTTTAAAAGTCAAACTAATGAGCCAGGTGCTGGTGTGAAAAAAAAAAAGAGGTTTATTCAGGTGCTATGACCTTGGAGAATGGTGGACTCCTCTCTCAAAGGCCATTTTACCTTTCTTCTCAAGCCAGTGGTTCTTATAGGGATAAAAAGAGGAGTGCTTTTTTCTATCCGATTATCTTGCTAGCTTTTGTCATGCTCAAGGGGAAGGGAGTAAATTAAAAAAATGATGTAGTGAACACTAAGCACAGTAGATCATGACTGTCACAAGCAATATTGTTCAAGGTGGACAAGAGTCACTGAATCAAGGAATCGAAGCTGGGACTGCTGTGAGAATCCTGGCCCCACTGTAACAGCAATAGATGCATCACTGATTGTGTGTCAGTGCAGTGAAGATTTCCTACAATCATGTTGTTACATTAAAAAAAAGAACACTGATAAAACCTTTGCCTAAGCTGAAGTCCTTTTGTAGATGGGAGGACAGTGGGCCATAAGTGGGAAAGGGGATGTAAAAGGGACCGCTGTCCACCACTCGTTCAGCTTGTGCCACCTATGGCAGGATGCAGAGAGGACCCAGACTTGAATTCATATTATCACCAAATCCATGCTTTTGCCAAATCAAAGAGAAATTTGAAAGAATGAATTCACAGATTATATGAGACTTTGCCTGGTTCATCAGTCTGACATTCTTCTCTTATTTAAAAAAAAAAAAAAAGAATGGTTTCCCCCCCAAAATCAATGAATTTTCCAAAAAGCCTCAGTATAGAAACCTACTCCATAGATTATTTTATTTAGGAAAAGCTTGCAAGAATTCACCAGCGAATGGGGCAGCCAAACCCAGTAGCTTGGTCTTGTGGAAAAAAATCAAAATGAGGTTACTTCCTAATTTGCCTAACAGAGAACAATCATCAGGATGCAGTCCACCTTATGAGCTGCACTATCCTTGTGCAGATCAGCAGATAACACTGAGAAGCAGGACAGTGAGACTCTACTGCCCAGCATAAATACAGATGTAGTCTCTAGGTTTACAAGCAAAGATTAAAAATCAATGATAAGAGAGCTTTTCTAAACATGGTAGAAAACACATAAGCTATGTAGGGAAATATTGATAATTTTTAATTTAAAATGCCAATAATTCTTTACAGTAAACAAAATATTTTTAAAAGCTAGACTGAAAACTATTCTTACGTAATGACTACACAATTGGCAGAGTACATATATGCCTACAAATTAACTTTTAAAAAGTGTGGAAATGGTCAATTAACTAAATTGATCACCATGTGTAAGTATGGGGGTGACTTCTTTGCAGGCCCCCTGGTGCCACAGACACAAGTGAATGAATAATGACCGAGACATACTGGATCTGCTTGGGATGGAGAAGTGGGCTGTGGTCAGTTTCTCTGAGGAGAAAAAGGCCCTGAGTGCCCTCTTCCGTAGTCTTTTACTGGGTTGTAATACACAGGAATACAGGGCAGCAAGGATCAAATAGTAGATAACACTTCAAAGAAATATGAGGGCTTCAGAGTCTGAGTCAGTGTCTGTCAGGAAAAGAGTTGCAGAAACTTTAGGAGACATACTCATTTCCTCTCATATTCCTCTCATATAACCCTTATCATATGAATGAAAGCACTCTTAGCAGAGCAGATTTCACAGGTTTATTAGCAAGTCTTTGTGGTGCCAGATTTTTTCCCCAGGACATGCTCTAGCAAGGCAAGGAGCTGCACCTCTCCCCATCAGGTATTCAGGCTTAAGAGGATTAGGGCCAGGAAGCACTTCTTCCAGAGAACATGGAGACTCGGGTCATGTCAAAGCTGGGGGGCGAGAGTTTATTGCTCTTTGTTGCAGCCCCCTGAGTCCTTCCATGAAGGCCTCCCAAGTGATCGAGTCTGGCTTAGGTTGCCCCCCCCCCCGCTGTGAGGGGTCTTGCCCATCACTGACTTCTGACCAAGCTTTGGACCAAGCAGGGAGAGGAACTGAGGCAGTGTTTGCTACCAGAGGCAGGCTTTGTCTCCTGCAGTTGGCATTCCAGAGGTCGTCTCTCACCCTTAGCCACAAGGGGTAGAGATACAATTTCTAAAATCAGGCAGAGCTGTCTACAACATGTAAGAATGATTAACCTTGCCAGTATCCATGGATTCAAGTCAAGACAATTATCTTGAGGCATCACTTTTCATTAATCAGGTTGGCAAAGTTTTTCAATATTGTAACAACCTCTGTTGGAGAGAGTGTAGAAAAACAGGTATTTCATACATTCTGATCAGGAAGATTAATTACTGCAATTTTCCAGGATGTGAATTGGCAAAACTTGCTAAAAAACTCTGATCCCCTGGCTGGTGTAGTTCAGTGGATTTAGCGCAGGCCCTCGAAGCAGATGATCGCAGTTCAATTCCCAGCAGGGCACATGCCTGGGTTTCAGGCCAGTTCCCAGCAGGGGCCAGTTCCCAGCAGGGGATGCACCAGAAGCGACCGTACATTGATGTTTCTTTCCTTCCCTTCCCCTCTAAAAATAAATGAATAAAATAAAAAAATTAAAAAAAAAACCTCTCTGATCAAGGACTTCTGATCAAGATGGAGGTTTAGGTAAACAAAACTCACCCCCTCACCCCCTCGAAAAACCACAGCAAAAATTACAACTAAACTACAAAATAACTATCATTCAGAGCCACCAGGAGATAGTTTTTCAATTAGTAACTGCATGGATGTTGAACAACCAAGGAATTAAAGAAGTCACATTCATTAATATGGATAGGAGGGTCAGAGATGTGGAGACACAGAATGGACCAGTTCCACACCCATACATGATAGATAAAAATCAGGAGGGATATCTCAGGAGTAAGGGATCCCAGCCCCACATCAGAGCATCCAGCCCAGGGTTCTAGTGCCAGGAAGATAAGTCCCCATAACTTCTGGCTGTAAAAAACAGTGGAGGGCGGGGAAGCAGAAGAAACTGTGGGATTCTCAGGCATCTCCTTTTAAAGGGCCCACTACAGACTTAAGACTTACTCAGACTCACTTCCTCTGGGCTCCAACACCAGGACAGAAGCTTGAAGGGCACCAGTATCATACAGGGAGGAACTGAAGTGTCTGGTATCAGGGTGAGTGCAGAGTACAGCTTCCTCCTGGACAAAATTCTAGAAGCCAAGCAGTAGCCATTGTTTCTTTTCTGAGCCTTTCTCAACACGGAACCACAGAGTGTCAACACCATATATGAAACTCCATCAACCTGGTTCACACAGGTTGCCCCAGCCTGGCAATTACCTAAGGCCCTGCCCCATTTCACTTACAGGTTCGCCTAAGTGATTAACAGCGGCTTTTCTACATTAGGCCACACTACTAAGGCAGGACATCAAAACAGCTCTACCTATTACATAGAAACAAATATAAGGAGTCTGCCAAAATGAGGAGACAAAGAAACATGGCCTAAATGAAAGAATAGATTTAAAAAAATACAGGGATAGAACTAAACAAAATGGAGATAAGTAATCTATAAGATGCAGAGTTCAAAGCATTATTATTAGGATGCTCAAGGAACTCACTGGGTACTTTGATGGCATAAAAATGATCCAATTAGAAATGAAGGTTACACTAAGTGAAATGAAAAACTTATGGAGAATCAACAATGAAGCTGAGAATCAAATCAAAGATTTGGAACATAAGGAAGGAAAAAACATTCAATCAGAACAGCAAAACAAAAGAATACAAAAAAAAGAATAAACTAAAGAGCCTCTGGTACAACTTCAAGCATACCAACATTCAAATCATAGGGAACCTGGAAGGAAAAGAGAAAAAACATGAAATTAAAAACTTAGTTGGAAAAAAAATGAAAGAAAACACTAATTTGGTGAAGGAAATAGACATGCAAGTCCAGGAAGTATAGAGAGTCCCAAATAAGATGAAAGCAAAGAGGACCACACCAAGACACATCATAATTAAAATGCCAAAGGTTAAAGATAAAGAGAGAATCTTAAAAGAAACAAGAAAAAAACAGAGTTACCTACAAAGAAGTTCCCATAAGACTATCAGCTGATTTCACAAAAGAAACTTTGCAAGCTAGAAGAGACTGGCAAGAAGTATTCAAAGTGATGAAAAGCAAGGGCCTACAACCTAGATTACTCTATCCACCAAAGTTATCGTTTAGAATGACAGGGCAGATAAAGTGCTTCCCATACAAGGTAAAGCTAGAGGAGTTCATCATTACCAAGCCATTATTATATGGAATGTTAAAGGGACTTACTTATTTAAGAAAAAGAAAATCAAAACTATGAACATTAAAAGGGCAATAAATTCACAATTATCAACAATTGAATCTAAAAAACAAACTGAGCAAACAAGCAGAACAGGAACAGAATCACAGATTGGAGATCATTTGGATGGCTACCAGTTGTGAGGGGAAAGAGGGAGAATGGATGAAAGGGTGCAGAAATTAGGGAGTACAAATTGGTAGTTACAGAATAGGCAGGGGGTGTAAAGAACAGTATAGGAAGACATCAGGAAAAGGTGGTGATGGAGTAGGACGGAGCTGATTCCATCTCCCCCTACATGTGTGAGAAAAATCTGGCTGATCTACAGAGGAACAGAGAAAACAGCCAACAGTTCCCCCAGCATATATAAAAATAACAGACCAGAAATTGTATCAAACACTGAAAAAGCAAACAACAGTAAGGAGACAGCTGCAGGACAGTAGGGTCTCAGGGACCAGAGCAAAGACAGGATCAGGGCGGTCTCGGCCTACACCTGGTGCCCAGTGGGTCTACCAAGTACTCTTTGGGAGTCCAGGGCCTGCCACAGGGTCCTTGGGAGAGAGCCGGGTTATCAGCTCCCTCCCTCCCTGGCCAAGCAAGGTTTGGGCAACACCGGGAGAGACCTGGTTGCTTGAGGTTGCAGAGAGGGGAATAAGGACAAAGGGCCATGATCACCCACAGAGTCTGTGGTCACCAGCTTGGGAGAATTGAGAGGCACAGTGTCAGGCTCCGACTCCAATGGTCACCTGTCTGGCTGGAGAATTGGGCTGTGCTCGCAGGCTTGAGTGGAAGAAATTTCTTGAAAAGTAAACTCTTTGGGGTATCCTCCTGCGACAGCCGCTTGGCCTACTCCCCACCCAGCCTAGCAGCTATCACCAGGTTGGGCAGAAGGCTTTGTGTTCCCCCATAGCACTGGAGGAAAGTGTCTGCGCCCAAATGTGGGACCCAGGCAGCCTGGCCACACACACGTGCCTGCACCCCAGCCCACCGAGATGACTCCCAGGGAAAGACTGCTCTGAAGAGGACCTAGATCCCCTGCATGGGGTGCTGGGGAGAAGAACCAGGATAGCTCTTGGGAGAATGCTCAAGAGACTGGCTGAGTACACATCCAGGAGGGAGAAAGACCCTCAGTCTGTTGCAGCCAGCAAGACCAGAAAAACCGGTTCAGCCAGCTGGAAAACAACAAGAGGTGTTTTGTTTTGTTTTTTTTAAGTAATCTTTTATTTCTTAATTTTATTATTGTTTTATCTTTCAATATCTTCTTTCTCTCTTTTGGTCTTTATTGTTTTATTCCTCTTTCCTTTCTTTCTGAACTTATTGCTTCTTCCTCCCTTCTCCTGCCTTTTGTTTCCCCACAAGTGAGACAAAAAACTTGGAACTGCAAAAAGACCAGAGCTGGACCCAAAGAGGGGACATCCCAACAGTAGAAACAGAGACAAATCTCACTTTGCTATAGCAGAGAAACTACAAGCTACTGCATATTTCTATTACTATTTTTTCATTATTCTTACACCTTTTATTTTAATAGTATCTTTGTATTCCTCCTCTGTCTATATAGTCTTCTTTCCCTTGGCTGGATATATTGTATCATTTGACAGGCTTCCTCTGTTCTCTCCTCCACAGTGTATTGCTAATTTTCTATGGTCCTTTAGCACACTACTCAAAGTTCTATAGCCCCTATTCATGTTACCCAGATCACATAGATTCTGTCATATGATTGTTGCTCTAATCTTATTATAAATAATAGCTCTTCTATACAAATGTAAATACTTCACAACACCCCTCCCAAATCAGCCCACTTCACATTTTCCTGAATTCTATTACTATAGTGAATAACTCTTTTTGCTCACACACTACACCTATTTACTATCCTTCACTCTCACCTTACCTCAGAATATGACCTCCCAAAACCTCACTGTTTTCTAGATCCAACTCACAAGCCTTCACTCCCCAACAAGAGCCTTATCTTCTGTCCATCCTTTCTTAAAAGTGGCTAGTTAAATTGAAGATTACTGTTAACACTGTACATAGCCTAAAGACCCCCTATCTCTTCACTACAGGCTGCTATTGTAAATATCATAGAATACTCTCATGCTGTCATAAACCATTTTGCCTCCCCCTCCAACTGATCACACACACAAATAAAAAGAGTAGGTGGAAGCAGTGAACACCAGGATACCAACTGGAAGAGGTAACCCAACAAAAAAGGAACCACCAACAGGTAACAACAGAAGAAGGTGAAGGGGGGGAATAGAAACCACACAAACATCAATCCAATACCTATCTAGAAATACAACTAAATAGTGGAGAAACCTACCCAGTAAAAACACCAGAATAAGAGCAAAAAAGAATCCTCAAAACCTTGTACACACAGAAGAACTACCATCAACACAACCCACCCTCACCAGCACAACAAATTAAAATGAGTGGCAGACAGAGAGACCATCAGTTTACCAGCTGTTGGGAAGGAAACACAAAAGAAAGACCAAAACCCCCAAAAACTCAAAGACAAACTCAGAGCCAACATTAAGGACAGCCCAAGACCAGTGAGCTGGGGAGATCAAGAAGACTACACCACTGAAACTCACAGGTAGTATAACACAGAAGTGCACACCATAAACCCAGAAAGCTAAAACAAATCAGTTTAAGAAGCTAAAGCTAACAAGAAGAGTCTCACAAACAGTAGGAAGACAAAGAAACAATCTCCAAATCAAAGAAAAGGAGGAAGCCTCAGAAAGAATGCTAGATAAAACAGAGGCAAGTGAGCTATCAGATATTGAATTCAAACCTCTGGTTATCGGGAAGTTCAAAGAGCTCACAATGAGCTACCAGGAACTGCAGGGAATTACAATGAATTCACTACAAACTATTTCAACAAGAAAAAGAAAATGGAAAATATCAGCAAGGGCTGAAAGGAAATGAACAATAAAATTGCTTAACTGAACAATACAGTGGAAGGAATCGAAAGCAGGATTTATGAAGCAGAAGATCAGATCAGAGAGTTGGGGGACAAAGTAGAAAAAAATACCCAGAAAGAACAAAAAAAAAGGAAAAGAGGCTCAGAAAGAATGAAGAGGGATTAAGAGAAATGCAAGACAATATGAAACGTAATAATATCTGAATAATAGAAATAGAAGAAGAAGAAGAAGAAGAAGAAGAAGAAGAAGAAGAAGAAGAAGAAGAAGAAGAGCAAAAGATAGAAAACCTATTTGAAAAAGTAATGATGCAAGACTTCCCTAATTTGATGAAAGAAAAAGTCACACGAGTCCAGGAAAAACAGAGTCCTAAACAAGAGGAACCCAAAGAGGCCCACTTCAAGATATATTATCATTAAAATGGCAAAATTTCAACATAAAGAGAGAATCTTAAAGGCAGCAAGGGATGACAATAAAGTAACATACAAGGGAGCCCCAATAAGGTTAGCTACTAACTTCTTAATGGAAACGCTCCAAGCAAGAAGAGAATGGCAAGAACTATTCCAAGTAATGAGAACCAGAGGCCTGCAAACAAGGCTACTTTACCCAGCAAGGCTCTCAATCAAGATAGAAGGCCAAATAAAGAGCTTCAAGACAAAAGAAGTCTAAAAGAATACACCTCCACCAAAACAGCTCTGCAAGGAAATACTAAAAGGACTGCTTTAAGAAAAGGAAGGGAAAGAGAGAGAGAGAGAAACACAGGTATAAAAGTGACAATGAATAAGTACCTATCAATAATAACCTTAAACATAAATGGATTAAATGCTCCAATCAAAAGACAGAGAATAGCTGAATGGATGAGAAAGTATGACCAACACATATGTTGGCTACAAGAGACTCACTTCAGGACAAAAGACCTACATGTACTAAAAGTAAAGGGCTGGAAACAAATTTTCCAAGCAAACAGAGAGAGGA